GAAGAGCAACGCATTCTAGTTTTATGCCAGAAATGTCCTTTTCTGTGATGCTATGGGATTCCAGTAATTTTTCAACTTTTTTTCTAAATTCCTCTGCGGAGTGTTTAAACTTAATGGATTCTTCCTGAAACAGAATCATCTTCTTGCGTGCCATTTGTTCATCCAGAGTCTTCTGATGGAGCTCATCCTGTAATTTTTTAAATTTACTACTTACCTCTTGTATATGAGCTTCTTGTAATTGTATCTTCTGCTCATTCACTCTCTTTTCCATAGTTAGAGCATTCATTTGGGCATTTAAATTTTTAATTTCCCGGTCAAGGTTTAGGGTGGAAGCACTTTGTTTATCACATTTTCGTTTATATTCACTAGCTAAGTCTTTTGTTTTTGCTAGATCAACTTCTAGGGTTTTGATTTTACATATGTATTCTTGCTCAATTATTGTTTGCTTGTGCAGTTGTTCATTTGTTGTACAGAGCTGCTCTTTGAAACCATCTGCTAGGGCTTTTAATGCATCATTTTTCCTCTGAATACTTTGTTTTTCCAGAGTCATCTTCTCCGATTCAGACTGAATTTGCTTCATCAGCAGTTTTGTTTCCGTATTCCATTTATTAAGGTCCTCTATCTTTTGTTTCAATGTTTCTGACACCTGATTACTTTTGGCTAATTCATTCTTCAGCTTCTGAATTTCCTGCTGGTTTTCTTTCTCTGCTTTTGTTTTCTGAAGCAACTGGTCTTGAATTTTCTTATATTGCTCTTGAAGATTATTTGCTTCTCCTTTGCATGACTGTGTTCTGTGTTCAGCTGCCAGCTTCTCTTTTAGAAGAGAACTGATTTGTGAATTTAAGTGTTTGATAGTGGTTTCATTTTTTGTCTGTAATCTAGTTAATTCCTCTACCTCTCTTTTTAGCTGTGTCTTTTCTTGCTGAACAGATTTCAGCTCCTCCTGATAGTTCATCTTAATTTTCTTAAGATCTGTAGCTTCTTGCATCACCTCTTCAGCTTTACCTGTGGTTCTCAGTAGCTGCTTGTCCAGTTCTTTCAACTGTTGCAAATATTGCTGCTCTACTTGGTCTTTTTCCTCCAACTTAATTTTTAGGCATTTAAGTTCACTGTTTACTTTATCTAGTTTTTCTTTTAATAATCGAGACTTTTCTTCTGTTGATGATTTCTTAAGTTCAATTTCATTCAGCTCATATTTCAGGTCCTTAATAGTTTTATCAGCTTTTTTATTAGTGAGGGTTAGCTCATGTATCTTCTGTTTAAGCTCTTCTACTTTTTTGGCTTCTTGTTTCTTATGGAAACTTGTAATTTCAGAATCAGTCCTACAATGGCTGCCTTGCCCGGCCATGAAAGTTGGCAGGGAAATTTCTCTAGTTACAGAGTACCTGCCTTCAACAATCTTCCTTCTGGCTTCAATTTTCTCTTTTTCTTGCAGTTTTATTTCTGATAGATTCCCTTTAAATTCAAGATCTTGTTCCATTTGCTTTATCAGTTTCATAAGTTTCTCCTCTCCTTCTGTTTTTTTCTTCAGCTCCTGCATTAAGTTTTTTTTTTGTTGCTCTAAATCATGAAGATTAGTATCCTTTCTTCTTAGAAGCTCTTGAAGGTTTCTTCTGCTAGAGGTGCTTTCTTCTATTTGATTTCGAAAAGCACGGAGGTTTTCTTCCAGCATACTTCTTTGAGTCTCTGCTTGAAAAATGAGCTGCCTTACACACTCTAATTCCTGCTCTGCATCTGCTTTCTCTTTCTCGATGGTCTGTAAATCTATACAACACTGCTTTGCCTCTTGCTCAGCCTTGGTCTTCTGAAGACAGATCTCTTCCATGTCCTTTTGCTGCTTCTTCCACTGTTTTTCTGCGGCTTCCCTCACTTTAGGGAGCTCCTGTTCCACTTGAAATTTTTGTTTCTTCATATCCTCCAACATCTCCTCAAGTGTTTTTACCTTTTCCATGAGTTTTCTGTTCTCATCAATTGTGCTATTTTGCTGTGCCATTAGATCTGAATATGCCTCACGCACTGATGCTTCCTTATTCTTTAAAATCTGTAAAAGAATGAGATAAGTTGAAATGGACTTTTGTAATACAACATATGAAACATGTTAGGCTCTTTAAAAAGCAGAATGGAAAATACTTACTCATATATATGGTGCATCCAGAAAGCAGGACAAGCAGTTCCCACCACCATCACCTTCCCTTGATACAGTAAGCTTCAGGAAGTTACCATTAGCCAAATACGAAACCCTTCATAAAGACATCCACAAAGTGAAGAAGTCCTGAAGCCTCTCACTTCGGTCAGATGCCTCTTAGCAGTAAGCAGCGTCACAGCTTGCATATGCTTTTTCTCCGAATGAACAGGTAAAGCAAATAGTGAGTCAAGCGCTGTGTGCAAGAATTCCCAAGGAGAAAGTGGCCTACCATTCCTGGAGCAGTTCAGTAAGAACTGGAGGAAGGCTTTTATGCGTGCAAGCAAAAATAACAGGAGAGAAGCTTGGAAATTCCCTCCAAGAAAAGAAGCAGTATCTAGAGCTAGAGCAAAGATGCATCATCTCTAGAAAGAGAAGTATCTAAACCCCAATACATCTACGCTCCACAGTGTGCTCCACCGTCCCAATGCCTCCACTGGCTCAGCTGGGGGACCGGCAACAGCACAGCTGCTCTGCAGCATAGACACAGTTAGAAGTATAAACACGGTAATTAGGAAAATCCTAGTGAAAACCAGTCAGCTAGTACTCTTTGTATGCTGGCAGATCAAGGGAAACTCTTATAAACAAGATGTGTATTCACCAGTAATAATACGGTTGAAACCATACATACCTTGTCTTCATTAGCACTATTATGGCGCCAGTTACCCAATGTGAGCTAACAACACATCTATATTCCTATGATCATACACACATGGCATGCAGGGTAATTACAGCAACATTTTCAAATAAACAAAATGTTGGTTTAGTTCAAATTTAACAGATTTACTTGATTTTTCACATGACCTATGAAACTCATTTCCTAAAAGGCTAATGCAAAGGCAGCTTCTTCAGTATAATTCTCCGTATTTCCCCATGTCACAATTTTGAACAGACCCCAAGGTATACAAAACATTTAATTTGGTTTCTTATCAGATGTCCTTTTTTGCTCCCAGAGACACAAAATCTAATGTATGATGTTTGAAAAAGAACTAAAAATACAGATACAGTCACAAACTATATCTTCTTGGCTTTAATTTCTAATCGACATGGCTGACCATCAGCTGGGTGGAGAAAAGGATGGTAATTAAATGGTAATACAAAATAAATATAAAAATAAATTTATAAGAACTTTAAAAATTCAAGCATCTCAAATGCACTGTAATTAATGTATCACTAGCATATTCATTGCTTATACCATGTTCACTCAACTTTAAATCACTTGACATTGACATACTTTGAGATTCAAATGTTGATTTGGATGGGTTTAGAATCATTCTTAGATTAACTGTTTCATTTCCATTGCATAAAAACTCTGGTACCTTAATAACAGTTGAGCTTCTTTTCCCTTCATAATCACCTCTTCTCTTTTTATTTTCTTTTTTTTCAAGTAAGGCTTTTTCCCCTATTTTTTCACAGAATGTTTTCTGAAGTTCAGTGCTTTTTCCAGGTACCTCTGTGCAATGGTCCTTCTCTCTACTGTCCATTTCTGCCACTAGCAATAAATGTTTACATTTCTGACCCTGTTCTAACTTGTCTTCTCCACTCTGCTTCTTCCCATTTATATTGATGTTGTCCAAACCATAAATTTTACCCTGTGATATTTTCTGCTCACTTACTTTCCCATCATGACTCAAAAGCTTTTTTGCTAATCCATGTTCTGACAACGGAACATAAAACTCTCCTCCAGAAATAATTTCTGAGAGGGCTACATTTGCATTTAATTCAGCAGCATTTCCTAAGAATTCTGTACCTAAGCTTGGATCATTTTGCACTGGTGACACTTCAAAATCTAATGGATAAAATTCAGAGACTTTTTCTGCATACTGATTCTCTGAAATATTCCCTGAAGAAACAGCCAAAACTTCTTGCATTGTACTGTTGGCTTCATTTGGATTAAAATTTGATTTTTCTAGGATTTTGTTTTCTGCTATGAAGTAACTTTTATCCAGAGATGCTCTGTGCAGTCTGTTTGCATCCCTTGCAACACTCTCAGAAATGCCTGGATTGCTCACAGATTGCAAATTTAGTTTTGTTTTTTCACTTCCCTTGTGTGCTGCCAGCTCCTTCCCTAAAGGTGTTTCACCCCTCATCACACCTGAGAGAGAGTCACCTTTTTCACCACACACTTGAAACTCTCTGTCTTCAGAGTTTAAAGTATTATGGCTATTATTTTTTGTAAAGCAATGTTCTTCATGCTGACATTCAAAATGAGTTCTTGAAAAATGTTGTTGCTTGTAGGGGCTGATATCCAGGGCGTGCTTTCCAGTTTTTGGAGTAACTTCACCTTTCTTCACTGTTAGCTCAAAATTAGTTTCTGATTGCATATGACATTCTTCCTTTGCTGGAACAACACTCCCTGCCTTTCTTGAACATTTTTTTCCTGTGGTTTTGTGTATCATCTCCACTTCAGGCAACTTCTTTGATACTCCCTCTGTTTTCCATCTCTCTCCATTAACAATGTGCTCATTTAACATTTCACCAGAATTGTTATCCACACTTAGACAGATCTCAGCTGAAAAACCCCACTCTTTTCTACCTTTTTCTTCTTCTTTACTTTGATTACCAAAACTCATTAAATTCTCTTGCTCTGTATGTAGCTTATTTTCTCTGTTGCCACTAATGCTACTTTCTTGACCACTGAAATTTAAAAATTGCTTTAATGTTCTATCAGTTTCAATTTTATCGTATCTGTTTAATTTTCTTCTGCCAATTTCCAATTTATTTTCTGTGTGTTTAGGTTTACTGGAAGAGTTATCTTTTTGCAGATAGCGCACATCCATCATGCTTTCATTAGGTGTGCTTTCTTCTCTGAATTCAACTGCTTCATTATATCCCAAATGCTGAAGGCCTTCAGCCGACTTCACAGGTTGCTGGAGTTCACCCTCCTCTGGTAAGCTCTAAGCATGACAGCACATGGATTAAACAGAGATACCATAAAAAGGATCTTATTTTTTCCTTATTCTGTGCATTCTTAATGCCTTTCCTGAGAGTTAGGAAGAAGACTGGCATGGAAGAAAAATCTCGGAACAATCACAGACTTCAGAGGTGTGATCCCAGAAGCAAAAAAAAGTCATTCCTCCTTTGAAAAGGATTATTCATTTTCTGATTTGCTACCCTGATTGCAAAGAAAAAACCCATCAAATCATTTTAAGACCGGCAACCTACATAGGTTTATCTTCAAATAAGCTATCAAAGATTTAAAAGATTTAGAAGGCTGCCAGAAGCTGAAGGAGGATGGAAGATGGGGGATGTCTGATTACCAAAAAAGAAGTCCTGGAGATTCAGAGTGGACTGAAACTCAAAAGAGTTCCAAAAGATCCCAATTGCTCTTGAAAGACACGAAGCCTATGGGCATTCAAAGGTTTCTTGATCCTTGTTTCAATTCCTGTTCTTTGTTTCATTTTTTATCCTTGATACCATTAGCATTATTAGTCATGCCACTTGTCACCAAACATCTATTTCCATACGAATACTCCACCACTTCATGTCGCACAGAGATACATGCTGTTAGTGTACAGTTTGTTCAGAGGTATTTGATAGCAAGAAAAGCCACTGAAGACAAAGCCAGCACCAGAACTACATAACATACGTTTAAGAACTCTGGGTTTTTTTCTGCAATGATAACTTTAAAATCTATCACCATATGAGAGTGTTCTCCATTTTTATGGAATTTATATAGGACTACATTATTATGGCCACAATTAATTATCGGACTACATTTAACACAGACATCATTTTAGAAATATGCACTGTATAGATTATATTAAAACACTGTAGTCCTTAAAGAATGACTATACAATCTCTTTCAGAGAGAAACTTTTCAACAGAAAGTGAAGATTTTAAAAGTATTTTTTTCTCAATTATTTGGAAGGTTGATTCTGCAGCAAGCAGGTAGTATGTAAGCAATTTTAGTCTTTCATATCTGCTGCTAACTTTGTGAAGAGTTCCAACAGGTATATTGCTCTCTGTTTGGCTAGCTGATCTTTTTGCTTGGTTGGCTGCAAAGATAAGACCTACCTCTTCCTCTTCCAGTCTTTTCAGAGAGTCACCTGCAAACTTAATGTATTGAGTCATCAAGGTCACTAAGGCAGTGTAACGAGTCCGTAAATCCATGATCTGTAGAGAAACAAGGTGGGGAGGTGGGGAGGGGAGGAGAGCAAAGAGAGAGAGAAACTCCCATTAAAGCAATGATGAACACTACTCTAGAACCTAGCCCAATTCTGATTCCAAACTCCTGATTCTGGAATCCAAAGTCCTAACTTTGATTCCAAAGTTGAATGTCATCAGCAGGGTGCACTTGCACAAACAAATCCTAAGGATCTACGAGGAGATCCATAAGAAGAAACAGAAGATACACTTTGACTTCACAGTCATCTGATTCTTGCCCCCTGTAAGAACAGGTTATAAGAGGGATAAGCAGTGCTGACCACTATTCCTCTCTCTAACGGTTAGCAGGGAGACAGATTTCTCTTTCCCATCAAAATGAGGCTGATTTGCCTTGGAATCCGTCAAAGTCACCAGACCCTGTAAGTCTTACCATAGCAAAGATGAAAGCTCCCCCTGTTTACTGTGATCAAGAACCAGCCCAGAGGTAGTTCTAAACAGTTTACTGAGGTATGTTTCTCATGTAGTTTTTTATAAATTGGGGGACTTTTGTTCATCAACAGCAATATACTGTCCTGTTATCTAAAAACCGCATAATGACCTATAGGATATTTATCACATCATAAATCTATAGAGGAAAAAAAATTCTCTATAGAGAAAAAAAAAAAAATCTTTCTTGGGTTACCCTATTTCATCATTAATAAATCCTAAATCCCATTCTTGCGTTTACTCTTTTTTAAGCAAAGACTCAACAAACCACATTTTCCTGTCATGAGAAATACATTTACCTCTTGAATAATGAAGTCTGATGAGCTTTGAATTCTTTGGCATTTCACTGGAGATTTTTGTTGGGAGTCAACCATAGCTCTGTAGGTCATAGTCTGCAACTCATAGTCCTGTAAAAAGAGAAAATACACAAAATGGTTGGCATTCGTACATGATACAGACACTACCAAAAAAAAAAAAAGCATTCCAAGTATAATATTATTTACTACCTTCACAGCAGCTGAGTATTGTTCTGAATACTTCTGGCATTCATCTATTTTGCTTTGTTTCATTTCAATCTCAGAAACCAGCATCTGTAAAATATGAATCTACATGTTCATCTTAAAAAGTTATTTTTATTACTATTACCATTTCTACTTTACTACTATTTCTACACTAACAATGAAATTTACATAATGTGCTTATTTCCATGTGTATACAAGTAATTATGTGCTCAAGACTATGTCCTGGGCTTTGTCAGGCTTACAGCACAGAAGCAGTAAAAAAACCCTGTCAGGTTTAATAGCTGGTGAGTGAACGTAAAACAAAATCAGGTATACACTATTTTGCGCATATAATTTGTCATTCTGTCTCTTATTTAAGTTGCATTTCCCTCTTGCAGAAGACAGCTGGTGAGTTTAGCTCTGCTTCCATGAGAGTATTTCTACATCCATAAATACCTAAAGCAGTATTGAATAAAAAACAATCTGATATCTCAGGAGAGTCCAGAATTTTAGGCACTCCCTGAAGTTTTGCTGTTCTTGCACATTTGAGAACCAAAACAATCTGGTCTATAAAATGGTAATAATCAATGAGTGATATTCATTATGCATTATAAACATAGAACCATAAAAGCTGGTGATACCTTGCAATTTTACAGTAAGTGCTGAGGGATATAAGCACTTCATATCAAGAAATAAGACTGACATCACTGGGTTAAACTGGTATTTTAATTCTTTGATCATTACGGCAGTGATTTCGTACATAAAGATCCCTTTCATACCTTATGTTGGTTCAGCTGTTTAGCCAATGCTTTGCTATTTTGAGGATGGATTTCTTGAATCTTTCGCTGAGTATCTTCCACTTGTTGAATCCAAGCATCCAAAGAATTGTAAGTATCTTTGTAATACTTCAGAGATTTATTAATACCTTCTAAGTCACGCAACCTGTTTTTATTTTGGAAGATAAGCCAAAGGGTAAGAAGAACAGTAAAGATAAAAGTACAACACTAAGCCAAATACAGCTTCAAAGGTTTTGGACACCTTAGCTCTGCTATAGCTCACACTACAACCACACTAAAATAACACTATCTAAACAGCAAATTGACTTCTCAAATGCCAAGATTCACAGCTTGCCGAAGCCTTTTGTCATAAATGACACCCAGGAAAGATCCTACTACAGAAGAAACTCTGCATATAGTCAGCTAAACTGCTGGAAATTCCATCAGCACAGGAAACTCCAAGCAAGAGGGAGGGCTCTGCAACAGCAATTAATTCTGTTATAAGAAGTGAGAGCATTTGAAATGTGACCTAGGTGAAACAAGGAGGAGTGTGCTGTGCTGGAGTTAAGTAGTGGTTCACCATACTCTCTGTGCCTCCCACAAAACACACCCCTGAGAGTGCTATGTATTTCTTGAAAACGGTTTCCACACTGGTAAGAATACTGATAGTTTTTCTTTCATGATGCTTATACCATTGCTTCAAAGATTATAAAAAAATGACTACTCCAAAACAGTGCCGGATGAACATACTTAGTAAACAACTTTTATAGCTTGACTTGGAATTAATACACTGAATTGCTCTAGTCTTTTTCTCAAGACATCAAAAGGAGATTGAAAAAGACCATGCAAAGGAAACTGTATGGCTCACAGCTTCATACTTAAGCATGTCTTAAAGCTAATAACTATTAATAAGAGAAAGGATAATGATAACTGCAGCCAATATTTGTACATACTTCTTGTATAATGATCATCAGTGTCAAGCTGTTAGGAAGCAGCAGAGTGAACATTTGCAGAAAGCAGCTTGTTTACAGCTCCATGCTGCAACTACCACAATCTGTCCTATACTAGAAGCCACTAGATATTAATAGTCATTTTTTACATATTTCTGCCCCTCTACTCTGCTCTCGTGAGACCCCACCTGGAGTACTGCATCCAGCTCTGGAGACCTCAACACAGGAAAGACATGGACCTGTTCGAGTGAGTCCAGAGGAGGGCCACAAAGATGGTCAGAGGGCTGGAGCACCTCCCCTATGAGGACAGGCTGAGAGAGTTGGGGTTGTTCAGCCTGGAGAACAGAAGGCTCCAGGGAGACCCAATAGCAGCCTTCCAGTACCTGAAGGGGGCTACAGGAGAGACAGGGAGGGACTCTTTACAAGGGCATCTAGCGACAGGACGAGGGGTAATGGATCTAAACTGGAAGAGGGCAGATTTAGATTAGATATTAGGAAGAAATTTTTTCACTGTGAGGGTGGTGAGACACTGGCCCAGGTTGCCCAGAGAAGCTGCGGATGCCCCATCCCTGGAGGGGTTCAAGGCCAGGCTGGATGAGGCTTTGAGCAACCTGGGCTAGTGGAGGGTGTCCCTGCCCATGGCAGGGGGGTTGGAACTCGATGATTTTAAGGTCCTTTCCAACCCAAACCATTCTATGATTCTATGATGCTATATTCTATTCAAGATACACTCCTGTGAGGAAAGCATGTGGTTCATGTTTGCCCTCTGAGGAAATAAGGTCATTTCAACACCTCATAAAAATATTGTTTCATCATTTAAATTACATCATGCTATCAATTGATGAAAAATCTGCTGGAATTAAAACTAGCCATTCTGCAGTCAGCTTTAAATGAGTCAGCTTTTCCCATCTTCCTTTTAATTTCCAGCAATGTTAAATAGAGACAACTACATTAGTTAATTACAAGTGACTAACTTCAGTACTGCACCTGAATGGATATTCACCCGTTAAAAAATGAGGACAACAATGTGAAACGTGTGAACTTTTACATCAACAGTACTATTTTTGATGCTCTTGTTCAGGTTATCTGTAATGCCAAACTAAAGTAGATTTTTAAGGAAATAAATTTAGGCTGTATAGTACAGATTTCCTTAACTTGTCCACACTTTTTCTTTCAGTCTATGGTTCTGTTTCCTTTACATGAAGGGAAAAGTATTTCCAAGAATGCAGGAACATCATGTATGGACATCTCCTTCAGAATTACAGGTCAGTGCGTTTTGCTATATCTGCACATTTGTGTAGGTATGTGCATTTGAGTAACATTCTCCAATGTAATCATGACAGTAATCCTAAAGGGTCGAATTTAGAGCAACATCCCAACTGGATATCAAGGCTGCACAAAAAAAGTTGCATAGCAAAAGAAAATATTGGCACTTCACCAAATGTTATTGTGTCAAAGTTATCACAGAAGTCAATGGAAGCTAAGGACTTCCAGGCTTAGCACTTGAGTAATTAAAAGCAAGTTAACATGAATCCAATCATAACTCATGAATCAGCTCATCAGTTCAGCCTGTCAGAACTAATTATGTGGAGAAACAGATGGTATTTCCATAGGACAGCAAGCCATTTCTACGGGCTTTTTTTGGAAAGAAAAATGAATATTTATCT